TAATGATATTCATGAGATAAATAACACCAAGACTGTTTTAGACCATTATTTCAGCATCAAAGACCTCGGTCACTTAAAATATTTCCTTGGCATCGAAATTATTAGATCCTCGAAGGGAATTTCCCTATCCCAACGAAAATACACATTAGACCTCCTTCAACAAATAGGATTACTTGCAACCAAACTGGCTCAAACTCCTATGAATCCTACGGTTAAACTACAAGATGACATTGTTGATCTCTTACCATATCCCCCTTATTTTAGAAGTTTAATAGGTAAATTACTTTACTTAACCCATTCTCGACCTGCTATTTGATTTTCTGTATGTAGGTTTAGTCAACACTTGGCCAACCTTACTGAAAGGCATTTCTAGTCAGCTCTCAAGATCTTGAAATATTTGAAGAATGAACCCACTCTTGCCCTATTTTTCAGCAACACATCTTCCACAATTTTTCCTGATTTTTCATAATCATATTGGGGTGCTTGCTCAATCACTAGAAGATAACAACAAGCTTCTGTTTTTTCTTAGGAGCGTCTCTCATCGGATGGAAAAGCAAGAAGCACTACTGTAAATAACGTTTGTAACGTCAGACGTGAAATACATTTTACCTCAGCTACCCAGACAAGGTAAATAAGGTCGTCATGAAAATTCTCCGCTTAACACCTCAGTGTTTTAAACATCGACATTATAGTTGAAAAGGTTATGGGTTCGATCCCTAGGAACTGCATATTTTTATTTTCTAAATTTTGTTGTGTGCGTCATATAGTTGTCGATTTTATTTACAATCTAAGGTAATAAGGTATTCATTTACCTTGGCTTTATGTAATATTTGAGGGGCTTAAAATGAATCTTTTTGGCTATATTTATCAATTTTACTGGCCTATATCATTTTTTGCTTGTATTGTTTTCACTAACTTGTATCATATCATTATAATAAATCTATTAACTTGTTATCATTTTTTATACATAAACTACAAAATACGTAACAGAATTGGAATATATCATATTATTTTAAACTAAATTGCAAATTTACATTATTATCATCAAGACAGAATACACTCGTTTGACAATATTTGCACATCAAAATGAAAAAACCTTTGTTCATATACAAAATAAGATTATAGCAACCAAGAAAAATTATTGTTGTGGTTGTCGAGCTTCATAATGAGATAAGAAGACATTAACCCAACATGACCGGATGTCATCAATATCTTCTACTGAATATAATTTTTAGATGATAAGCTCCTACAATTAAAACAACAATATTAGTTTAAGAAGTATATATATATATATATATATATATATATATATATATATATATATATATATATATATATATATATATATATATAGGCGGATACAGCATACGGCCAACTTGGGTAAATGCCCAGGCTCAACGGCCCAATTTTTTTTTTAGTACCCAGCCCAATTTTTTTTTAGTATTAAATAAAATTAAAAGAAAAAGAAAAAATAGTGAAAGTTAGAATTGGAAAAACCTAAAATTAGGAAAACCTACAGAGAAAAAAAACTGCCTGCCGCTGCTCACTTTTCTTCATCCTGTTCAATCTGTGTTCTTCTATCTGTTTAATCCTTGTGCAATCTATCATCATTCCTATAGGCTATATTATTTCTACAGGCTATATAAATTTGGTTATTAAATAGTAGATGCAATGTGTGTTCTCTTTCTTTCTATATAATATAAATATACTAGAAACTATATGTGTTTTATAAAATACTATTTGGTATGTTATGTTTGTCACAGAGATAATCTAGATTACTAATATGTTGGCATTGTATTAGATAGACACATATATAATTCTTGTCTTTTTGTACTTTTAGATAGACATACATGATACATAGACACATGTATGCTTAAATGCTTTATATTTTTAAGCCACTAAATTAGTACAAAATTGAATTGATATACTAGATAGACATAGATACATAATAATTTGCCTTGTTTAATTTCATGTTTGATTCTAATTTATTTATTAGAGTTTAGGTTGATTGATTAATCATGTACTAATTTATTTATTAGAGTTTAGGTTGTTTGATTAACCATATACAATTTCAAATACTAATTTATTTATTAGAATTTTATTATTTTAAATTTTATTTGAAGAACATTGTTAATTCTTATTTGATTATTATTCTTTTAAATTTTGAAACTACAATTTTGTAATCATTTTATCTTTTGTTTAGAGATGAGGAAATTTTTGATTGCTAGAGAAAATATTGAGAATGTGAATGTTGTGCAATCGGAAGTCGAATTAGAACCACCATCTAATGTGGTTAATGAGTTTAATCCAAATGAGATTGTGCGAGATCCAGGTCATAGGAAACAAATTAATGAGTATGCTCCGGATATTCAAGACCAAGTGAGGAGAGCATATATATTGAAGGGTCCAATGCAACCAGATTTGCCAAGCTTTCCTCGTACTACATTTGGGAGTGTTAAAAGATCATTTAGTAAATCATGGTATAAGAATTATACATGGTTAGAATACAGTGAGATAAAGGATGCAACTTATTGTTTTTATTGTTTTCTCTTTAAGAAACCCGGGAGGGCCGAGCACTTTGGTTTTGAAGTCTTCACTAAAAGTGGATATAGAGATTGGAAGCATGCATCTCAAGGTCACGTTGGTAGTCATAATAGTTTGCATAACTCATGTGTCAAGCACTATGATGATTATAATAATCAAAGACAAAGTGTGACAAGTAAGTTTGCTAAAGCAACCAAGGAATCAGAAGAATTATATAAGATTCGTTTGACTTGTTCTTTAGATTGTTCAAGATATCTCATAGCACAAGGCATGGCTTTTCGTGGCCATGATGAATCCTCTACTTCTCTAAATAAGGGTAATTTTAGAGAGATGGTAGATTGGGTAAAATCTCAAAATGAACAAGTGAGGGACGCTTTTGACCGTGGTGGAAAAAATTGCACAATGACTTGCGGTGACATTCAAAAGGAGCTTGCAACATGTTGTGCACATGAAGTTACCAAGGTGATTATGGAAGAGCTTGGTGATAGACAATTCTCCGTGCTATTGACAAAATATGATCTCCACACATATTTTGTCAATAGCAACATAAAAAATCTCTGCACGGAGAATTGTCTATCACCAAGCTCTTCCATAATCACCTTGGTAACTTCATGTGCACAACATGTTGCAAGCTCCTTTTGAATGTCACCGCAAGTCATTGTGTAATTTTTTCCACCACGGTCAAAAGCGTCCCTCACTTGTTCATTTTGAGATTTTACCCAATCTACCATCTCTCTAAAATTACCCTTATTTAGAGAAGTAGAGGATTCATCATGGCCACGAAAAGCCATGTCTTGTGCTATGAGATATCTTGAACAATCTAAAGAACAAGTCAAACGAATCTTATATAATTCTTCTGATTCCTTGGTTGCTTTAGCAAACTTACTTGTCACACTTTGTCTTTGATTATTATAATCATCATAGTGCTTGACACATGAGTTATGCAAATTATTATGACTACCAACGTGACCTTTCAAGCCTTGAGATGCATGCTTCCGATCTCTATATCCACTTTTAGTGAAGACTTCAAAACCAAAGTGCTCGGCCCTCCCGGGTTTCTTAAAGAGAAAATAATAAAAACAATAAGCTGCATCCTTTATCTCACTGTATTCTAACCATGTATAATTCTTATACCATGATTTACTAAATGATCTTTTAACACTCCCAAATGTAGTACGAGGAAAGCTTGGTAAATCTGGTTGTATTGGACCCTTCAATATATATGCCCTCCTCACTTGGTCTTGAATATCCGGAGCATACTCATTAATTTGTTTCCTATGACCTGGATCTCGCACAATCTCATTTGGATTAAACTCATTAACCACATTAGATGGTGGTTCTAATTCGACTTCCGATTGCACAACATTCACATTCTCAATATTTTCTCTAGCAACCAAAAATTTCCTCATCTCTAAACAAAAGATAAAATAATTACAAAATTGTAGTTTCAAAGTTTAAAAGAATAATAATCAAATAAAACAAATAAGAATTAACAATGTTCTTCAAATAAATAAAATAAAATTTAAAATAATAAAAATCAAACAACCTAAATTCTAATAAATAAATTAGTATTTGTAATTGTATATGGTTAATCAAACAACCTAAACTCTAATAAATAAATAAATTAGTACATGATTAATCAATCAACCTAAACTCTAATAAATAAATTAGAATCAAACATGAAATTAAACAAGGCAAATTATTATGTATCTATGTCTATCTAGTATATCAATTCAATTTTGTACTAATTTAGTGGCTTAAAAATACAAAGCATTTAAGCATACATGTGTCTATGTATCATGTATGTCTATCTAAAAGTACAAAAAGACAAGAATTATATATGTGTCTATCTAATACTATGCCAACATATTAGTAATCTAGATTATCTCTGTGACAAACATAACATACCAAATAGTATTTTATAAAACACATATAGTTGTAGAAATAATATAGCCTATAGGAATGATGATAGATTACACAAGGATTAAACAGATAGAAGAACACAGATTGAACAGGATGAAGAAAAGTGAGCAGCGGCAGACAGTTTTTTTCTCGGTAGGTTTTCCTAATTTTAGGTTTTTCCAATTCTAACTTTCACTATTTTTTCTTTTTCTTTTAATTTTATTTAATATTAAAAAAAATTGGACTGGGTACTAAAAAAAAATTGGGCCGGGGCATTTACCCAAGCTAACCGTTTGCTGTATCCGCCTGTGGCATTTACCAAAGTTTCTTTCATCTACCCTATTTCACATAACCCCAGAGGCCTTCCACACACGTACACAACACACACATCTCATTGTACGTATACACTCTCATTCACAACAACTTTCACATTGATACACTAACCCTTCACGTTTATTCTGTAGAACAATATATCAAAAACCGTGTACACACATACCATACAAAGCCAATTTCCTTTTGGATCAATACCATAAAATTAACAAAATAATAGGCCAATGGACATACTCAGTACTACCCTTTTCCACGATACACAATTCCATCAACCAATTTTTACCACTTTGCACCAACTTCATCACATAGCATCAGCACCATCTCTAAAAGATGAAACCAAAACTCTTGGATTCAAACTCAACAACACAAACTTACTACACAAATCAATAAACCACAAGACTTTTCATCCAAACTTTTTCAAAACCTTTATACAAACCCAAACACAAAACAAATCACATAACAAACATTCCAACAACATCAATTCAAATTCTGAAAAAAAAGGGATGACAACATTAATTCAAGAATTGAAAACAAAGTGGAATTCTGAAAAAGGAAGAAGGAGATCGAAAGAAATTGCGTCACACTGATATACTGCAACCTCTGATGACTCACACGTCGTCAGCAAGCAGCCAGATTCACCACCATCGAGTTAACCTCCATACGCATGCTCAGACTTTCGTCGAATCTCACTTGTTCCCATGAAAGTCAATTGACGACACAGCTCCACGAGTCTACCTGCAAGGGAGGGAAAAGATGGCCACCTTTAATCACATTAGGTTTTTTTTAATTTGTCTTGTGAGTTGGGTTTTCTCCTAATATGCTTTGGGCCACACACCCTCCATTACTAGCCCAATAAATATTTGCACCTTTGTTTGGTTATTTTCTTGTATTAATTTATTTTATTTGTTTGTCATTTAATTTTACTTAATACTCTTAAGTTTTTTTATCATCTTAAATTAGATATTAAGGTTAACTAAATTTACTTGGTAACTAATTAGTTTTAATTAAATTAGGTTAGTTTCATTTTATTTCTAATTAAATTCATAAATCCAAACACATTTTTTTCAATCAAATTAATTTTACATTTAGCAAATAATAGGATATACATCCTCGAGTAATCAACTTGTTGGCTTAACATCTTACCAATTAATTATTCAAATAAAAATATTTAAAATTCACAAACAAATTAAATCTATTTCTTCGTCTAGCGCGATCTAATTTTAAGAAATATCAACTCTTCTCCAAAACTCGAACTTAACTTAATCAAAACTGCTAACCAACTAAAAATAATTTCTACTAACATAATAAAAACTTAACTCTTTTTTTCAAATAATTTTTTTTAAGTTTCTTTCTACTTGGATATAAGAACTTCGCCTACCATCACTCAATTTTCAAACTTAGTCAAGTTCAAAACCATTTGAAAGCGACTTAAAACAAGTCTATAAAAAACACCAACCAAACATACTTCAAACTATGAAGGGCTCTGATTTCTTCGCAAGAGGATACTTAGGCACATGGTTTAAAAACCAATATTATTTTATAAGGATGAGTTAGGGAAAACTGTAATATGGTATTAGAGTATATCAATCGTAGTTTATATCGTCTATCGTTCAAACTCACACACCAAACTAAAAAAATGTACTAGACGTGAGGGGTGTATTGGGAAAATCACAAATCTCACATTGGTTAGACATAAAGCCTTGAAATAATTTATATAGTGTATTAGGATCAAATTTATTTGAATTTAACATAAAGAATTAATTCCATAAATATATAAAATAAGAGAACAAAAACTATATCTCCTCTCATGCTAGTTAGCTGAAAATCACACCTTTAAAATTAGGGGACCTTTAAAATTAGGGGTGTGCATGGATCAATAACCAAATCAAATTGAACCATATATATGGTTTTGTTTGGATCTTAAAACCACTACATTAAAACCGGTTTATATTTTTAAAATCGGTTTACATGTGGATCGGTTCGATTTTGAATCAGTTTCTCACAAAAACCAATTTTAAATCTGTTTTTCTAAAACCAATTTTTTATTTTCTTTAAAAAACCAATTTCAAAACCAGTTTTATAAGAAACTAATTTCAAAACCAATTTTAAAACCAATTTAAAAAAATAAAGTTTTATATCAATTTTTTATTTTATTTTAAAAAGTTCTAAAATTATTTTATGTTAAAAACACTAATTTTAAAAATAAAATTGGTCATTTCTCATAATTTATGGTCATTGACAATTTTAAAACATATGATATGTGATTTGAACTTAAGATATAGTAAAGTAATTTCTCAAAATTCATGGTAACAGAGCCACAATTCATTATTTGACACAAGTGAAATAGTTGGTGAATTCTTTGACACAACACTTGTTGATTACATAGGGAATGTGCAACATTCTTCACTAACTCACAAAACTAACAAGATTTAAAATCTTAAAGTTACATTGTAAATTTATAGGGGTATCAAGAGCCAGATTCTCAAGATTGTCTTTAGTAACACAATTTTCTAGCAGACATTTCATTCCTATCTTTCTACCAGGATTCTCCCCTTTGATGACAAAAACCCAACTGTTTGAACTCTTCCATCAACTTTTCAACAAAGCCATAATTAATTATTTTACACAAGTGAAATAGTTGGTAAATTATTTGACACAATTGAAACTGTAGCTCAAGAGTGGAAAGAAAATGCATATATAAAACTTTAGAATTCTTTACCGTTAAGTCCTCTTTGAGTGCAACAGAGGTTGAATAACTAGCACCATCTTCTGTATAAAGTAATTCTACAAAATATATAAATATATTTCATTATGCCTCAAGTATAATAAATAATAATACATTAGTGAATATACTTAGTTATCAAACCTTGCTCAAATCTCTCAAGAATATCAAAATATTAAATTGCAATCAATGATGAAGATGTTCCTTTGAGCCAATCATGGGTGCATATCAGTGCTTTGACCTTTTTCTGAGTTAATGAGATGTGATATGGATCAAGAACCCTTTCTCCTGTGCTAAATGCATATTCAGATGCCACTGTGCTTATTGGTATAACAAGCATTTTTCTTGCAATGTTTGCAAGGATGGGGTAACTACCAAAATTTACTTTCCACTACTCGAGAACATTTATCTCCATGTTATGCTCAAACTTCTCTCCAAGATAAGTGGTTAACTCATTATCTTCATTGTCACACCCTTCTGAAGGATAAAACTCAACAGTTCCGTATGGGTGACTAACATTACCAAAAACTCGTGACTCATGTGGATCATCTTGAGGAGGAATAAACCCAGCACAACATTCCTCATAAATATATTTCAAGCAAGACTCTAAGGTTTCTTTCAAGACATCAGCATCAACCTTATTATAATATCATTGTACCATCCAATCAACCAATCTAACCTTGCTTCTAGGTTCAACAACTAGAGTAATCAACAACATCATGTTAAGCTTCTCATGAGGTCCCCAATACTTATCATACTTCTTTTTCATCTTTTGAGTTGTTGAACGTAGATGTTCATCTTCACACGAACACATTTCCACAATGCTCTTTCCAATACCCAAGGCCTCAAACATATAAATATTACTTGTCAAATAAGAAGACCCTGATATATGTACAGGAGCATCATAAACCAACTTCAAGAATGGAATGATTAAGTTGATATGCTTCCAATCGTATTTCGTCATGACACCTTTTCCCTTTTTTGTAAACTCATTCACATACCTAGCACAACATAAAATGTTCAACATCAATTCAACTTTATATAAATTCTTTCTTATAGCGGAGTATTGCACTAAATAGTTAGGCACAGTACATAAATTTCCAGTAAGTCAAATAATTTAGTCTTGTGAAGTTTCTTACTAAATGCTTGGAGAGGAAAGTATACATGGTTGACATATTGTCTTCAATAACCCTTTTATAACTTATGACAATGTAATTAGTTGTTATAGCTATTACTTGTTACACTAAGATAAATTATGTACTTGCATAATTTCATAATAGCCACGACAACAACAATAAAGTGTTATTGTGTTAGATTCTATTAATATATAAAGTTGTTATGACCTTTATAACTATCATAATAGAATAACTAACTAGTTGTATATGATTGCAAAATTAATTCACATACCTTTTACTTTGAAAACCTAATTCTCCAAAGGTTCTTTCATGTTTTGATGTGGATACTAACATCAAGTAAGTTAAACTCCAACGAGTCTCAACATATAGAGAAACTAAACCTTTATAATCCATGATCTCCTCATCAATACATGCCTTGAATTTAGTGATCCTCGCGGAAGAAGAGCTAGCATACCAAATAGCACGACGAACTCTATAAACAGAATCATCAATGTCTTTCAAACCTTATTTCATAATTAAATTCAATATATGCGCGCAACATCTCATATGAAAATGGTTTGCTCTCATAACTAAACTATTCTTAGACAAAATCCTTCTCTTGAGATGTTCAACCCCAACATCATTAGATGAAGCATTATCAACCGTCAAACTAAGCACGTATTTTAAACCCCAACTGAAGTCTTGGTGAAGTGAGACACATAAGTTCATGAAAAGACTGATGTTCGACCTTCCAGAAAGGAATTTCTGTGTTAATGAATATCTTAACCATTTCTCTTTGAATAACTTCTTGGTCAAACTGACAATTAAAGGAGAGCCAACGTTTTCTTCCGCACTTGTCATAGAATATGATGTCCTTTGTCTCTTGTAAATAAGGCATCTCGATAAATGAGCATGCATGGAACTAGTTCCATTATTATACTTAAGTTATTTTGAAACACTCCATTTAGAAATTGATAGTATTCACGGATGATAATAAATTTAAAAAAAAGACATTATCCTTCAACGAGTAGAAATACTTCTGGAAAGATAAAGGAAACCCTCTCCATCAAGGAATCAAATTTTAAACTAAATGGATAATGGATGGATCTTCATTTGGGGGCATCACAAGTTATCCAGTTAATTGATAGTGCCTAAGTCCCAACATTTGTGTTTAAACTCAACTCCTATAATAGGATGTGCCTTTGATAAAATTTCATTATATTTTACAATAGATACAATACCTCTTTCTTCACTTTTACTACTCATCAACACAACAATAAGAGAAATAAACATAATTACAGTTGAAGCCAAAAGGGTTTATGCCATTATGTTGTTCTAAAAGGCTCTACGACAGTTTGGTTATGCTTGGAGGGATGGCCCTCATGACGCACTTGTCCAAGATATTGTATTTGACTATGAGAACGATGTCCAAGGTTATCGTCGAATATTTGTACAAGCTTAGGGAATGGTGAACAAAGTTGATAGCAAAACTTTGAGGCATAAGAACTATATTCCATTGGAGCCTTATCTCAAATGGGTGCGAGCTCGCGCTCAAAGCCTTATGATGTCATATCCTGCCATCTTACCTCTCATTGTGGAACCTAATGTCGAAGGAGATATTCCCTACACCATTCTTCATCCTGACATGCCTACTACTCTCGAAGAGTTGCAAAGATCATGGATTCAACTCAAAGGGGAGTGAGACACCTTTGAAGCCCAATTCTATGCAGGCGAGAAGAAAGTCTTGGAG